TATATATATATATTAAATAAGACAATAAATAGTTATTCTCTTTTATGTTATTTTATATTTGACATCATATCAAAATAGAAGCTTACAATATTATTTAGGGGGATTTACATTCATTATTATTTAAAATATGCCTACTACTAAAGTTAATTTTCATGTGATATTGTGCTTAACAAATATAGCACATGACTTGTTAAAATGATTTAGTTTATTTGAAGTAAATTCTACTATTTCAAAGATATAGTTATGGCAAATATATATTTTTTCTTTTTTATTTATTAAAAATTATAGTTTCCTGTTAATTTGTTATTGATTACCATTATTTTTATTCAAGTGCATTATTTTAGAAATGGATAAAACTCATATAGAATATAGAATATTAGTTATTGTAATAACCTAAATTTAAATATATTTTTAATTAGGTTTCTTCATTTGAGAGTTTTGGTAATATGTATTTTACTGATTGAAATTTTTCACCATAATTATTGTATATGGTTAATTTTGCTACATATTTATTGGTACGGATGGAATAGAGTTGGTATTTATTTTTATTATTTTTTGATGATATGAAAATAGTTATTTCTTTGTAAATATTTTAAGAAATAAATTATTTTCAATTAGCTCTTGGGTATTTAATCAGCTATTGTGACCTGTACATGATGTGCCTTGCATCAATGTGAAGATTTATGTTGGGTTGGGTCATGATCGTGATACACAAAATGTAAGAAGCCTTTAGTCAGGAGGTAGAATTGTTAGTTGTAAATAAGATTGTCCAATAATTCCAACTTATTATTTTAATCTTCTTGGTACATATCTGCTCTTCTGTTTGTCATCTCTTTATCACGAATATCACTCCTTTTATTGATGCAAAAAGTTATAATAAATTTAACTATATTTTTGGTGGTTGCATTTAGAATAAATGAAATCCCTCTTGCAACACTTTTCAAAGTATCTTTTTTAAATTCCCAAATCATTATTTTGGAAATCATCTATCTTGGATTTATTAAAATTTTGGTTACAATTTTTTTATGCGAAAAATAATGCTTTAGAAAGAAAAAATTATTATTATTTTTCTTATAAACTTAGCTCGTATTATCACACATTCTTAACTAATTCTTTTATATTTTAATAACATCCTATCCAATTTTAAGAAAGCAGAGGAAAAACATGCTCTATATAATAGGACAACTGAATTAAGGGACTATATTTGTGATACTATGTGCTCCTCAATATAGTAAACATGTCTTAATTTGTTTTACTGGGTTTATTAATCAACTAAACAATCTTATTTGCACCAATATTGGTAGAGTCATTTACAACAAAAATTTGATCTATCTTTACCTATATTTCTTTAGTAAATCTTAACACTAATGTCATCAAATCATTCACATCTCATTATCAAAGTTAGCAACTTTAAAATAACCCATTGTGAATTTATGTTCAAAAGCTTATGGACTAATATACTTGAGTTAAAGTTTAAAGTGAAATTCAAGATTTTATATAAAAAATCTTATATTTGTTTTGTACAAACAATTTAAAGGTGCAAAAGCTCATCTCAAAGTTCTAAGTTGGAAATCTTCTCCTCTCTACTAAACCTATGCAAGCTGAACACGGATCAATAAAATAATTTTTATTTCCTTGGAAAATATTCCTAAAAAAATTATCTTATCTCCAAGGTTAAGGCCATTTGTGATTAGTACTAAAAGCATGCGAGTCAAGTTGAGAGACATAGATAGTTTGTTAGCTTATGAGGATGGCAAACTCAAGAATATTTTTTTATTTATTAAACGATGAAAACTTCTAATCACATTAGAAAACTTTTAACCAACCATAGAGGGGTCATTACACATAATTTGCTTGCAAAGGATATTTCTTATTCTTACTCTTCTTTGCTTAATGAGAGAAGTTCCTCATAACCTACCCCAAATAGCTACATAATTTTTGTGTGGTTCCATCATTGCAACTACTTATGAGTATATGCTTATCAAATATATACCTAATCAAGAAGACTTGTTTGTCCATCATTATATCAACAAAGAAAAATCTTTTGGATTAGTTGGCCTCACTGCCAAAATTTTATCAATTGCTAGGCTATAGTTAGCAATTTTTTATTGATGTTTCATTCTTTTTTCAAGCCTTGCAATTTGCCTGATATGACAAAACACAACCTCATAGTCCTTATTCCAAAAGTGGAGTACTTTGATTCTTCGAGTGACTTTCTTTCAATCTCATATATAATAAATGCAAAGATCCTCGCAACTAAACACAAAATTGTCCTCCTCATAGTTCATATGGTCCAACTTACTTTCATCCAAAGTAGAAACATCATAGATGAATTATCTTGGCCAATGAAATTGCTACATTTGGAATTTTCAACCATGCAATATGACTTCATGTTAAACTCGATCTTAAAAAAGCTTTGAGACCCTTAATTAACACTTTTTACTGTTTAGAATAACGCAAATGAGTTTACTAAAAATATTTATTAATTCGTGATTATTTGGAAGAATTCTATGACACTTGTTTATAGTTGGCGCACATTCATTTCTGTAGCCGGCATTTTTTTTTTATTTTCTCAGTTACAACCAGTGTACCGCGTTCGTTGTCCAGACCTAGCATCGTGTCCACGCAAAATTTTATTCTTTTTGCAAGTTATCTTTTTAGAGTTCTATAGAAAGAAAAAAAAAAAAACAATACAAAAAATAAAGCGAATTTTGCAGCATTTTCCTCGACCAAATGCGCAAACTGGAAATAAGGGGTAAATTGCAAATATTTTTGCGTGGGCAATCGGTAAATGTAAAGGATCTCTGAGTCTCTGGTGCAGCTTGCGCGCGGACGCCGATCCGGACCGTAAATCACATGATTTACGGTCCTGATGTATTTCGGTGGGCCCCACCTAAAATTTTTTATTTTTTTTTTAAAAAAACGGAAATAATCCTGACCGTAGATCACCGTGATCTACGGCCAGGATCGAAAACCGCATGCAGAGATGCATGCGGTGTCCGCACGCAATAATATGCATGCGGTCTCCTGGTGTAGCCCCTTTTTCCAGGGGACGATTCTGCTCTTCAGTCTACAAGACCCCCCATCAAATCCGTCTCTCTTCGCTTGGAAGCCCTAAAACCTTATCGTCCAATCCATCTGACTTCCCGCCGGTGTTTTCGATTCCTGCTCCGATGGCGGGGGCGGTGCTCGATTGGTCGACCTCTACATCCAGATGTGAGTATTTTTGGCGATCTTTCTCTCTCTTTCTCTCTATTGATTTTTACTTTTATTTAAAATGAAGTTTTGCAGTTTCTCTAGTAATTTCTCGGGCTGCAAAATCGAGTTTTTGAGAGAGAATAATTGCCCCAACATACTGGATATACTGCGAACATTGTTAACATCGCTTCATGAACTGAAATGGACGGGTAAAAATGGCTGTCTGGCTACAATTGGGATTCAGTTCATGTTATGTATTGCAAAGTTTTGAAAATCCAGATTCTTCAATCCTGGATTGACTAAATAGATGTTAAAACCGCCTAAATCCTAGTAGTTGCTTTACAGATATTTTCAAGATTATTGTTTTAAATGAAGGAGAAAATTGCCATAGTGAGGAGAATTAGTGTAAATCAATTAAATTCTAATCCTCTCAAGATTTACTAAATCTACTATTTTTGTGACTCAAAAAACTGTTTGTCAAGCTTCAGCCTAAATCTAGGCCAAATCTTTTCAACCAAACAGCCCCCCTGGTCTTAATATGTTGATTTCTTATCAGAGTTTTTAATAATTTTCAGATTCATCTCAGTCTGCTGGAGAAATCTGTGGGCTTTGTTGACCAGAAAGGTCTATTTAGGCCATCTATTGGTTGCAAGGAGTAAAATTTTCTTTTTGCGCATAATTATTCATGCGCAACTTTTTCAACACTTAAATAGACATCTTATCTTGAAGGAATAGAAGGATTCATATTCTCCATTTTGCTGTTGTTTTTCCTCCATGGAATCGATATGGAAGCTCTCACATTTGCTAGAACCAACATCTCTGACACTTATCGTGACGGCAGTCTTTGTAACCTTTGCAGCAGCATCCCGGGCTTTGGATCATGGCAAAGAAATGGAGAGGAACCTGGATTTCTCCGAGGCTTCCATCACCTTAGATAGATCACAAGCACTAATGATACCGCTTGCTAGCTCTTGCAGTCTTCTGATAATGTTCTACCTCTTCTCTTCAGTATCTCATTTGGTCACTATCTTCACTGCTGTTGCCTCAGCTTCAGCACTCTTCTTCTGTTTATCACCCTATGTTGCGTACTTCAAGAACAGGTTAGGATTAATGGATCCATTTGTCTCTAGGTGCTGCTCCAAATCCTTCACCCGTAGCCAAGGAATCCTTCTGCTGATTTGTATAGGAACTGTGATCTGCTGGCTTATTTCTGGGCACTGGTTGCTGAACAATATATTGGGAATTTGTATATGTATAGCATTTGTGAGCCATGTGAGGCTACCTAATGTCAAGATCTGTTCTCTGTTACTGGTTTGCTTGTTTGTTTATGATATCTTTTGGGTGTTCTTCTCGGAAAGGTTCTTTGGAGCAAATGTTATGGTTTCTGTTGCCACACAAAAAGCTTCCAATCCTGTTCATACGGTGGCAAACAGCTTGAGCCTCCCTGGGTTGCAGCTGATTACAAAGAAGCTCGAGCTTCCAGTGAAGCTTATATTCCCTAGAAATCTTTTGGGTGGGGTTGTACCTGGCCACAATTCATTGGATTATATGATGCTGGGTCTTGGAGATATGGTATATCTTCTTATGCAATTTCTATATTAATTTACCTTTTTTTTTCTTCTTTACAATTAATGTTGTATTATCTAGTATAACCAGGATTTTTAATGAGTATTTTATTTTTATATTTTTTGTAATGAGCTTGTGTTTTATACTGCAATAAACAAGCTTATCAATGAACAGCTGGATGCATGTAAGTTTGAAGATAGCTCATAATTACTGTATGCACTTTTAATTTTTCTCGAGGCGGCTTGGTGTTTGAACTGCTGATACCATCTTGCAAGGACAATGTTTTCAACATTGTGATATATTTATATGCTTGTAAAAATATTTTATACTTTTCCTAATCATAGCTTAGTAAATTTTATTCTTTATAATATTTTGCATGCCTTTCTTTTTCAAAGTTCTCCTCATTTTAATATAATGATTGTCAGTGGGATACATGAACATACTCATAGCTAGTTTATTTAGTGTTTATTTGGTTCATAAAAACCCCTTGACGATTGATCATGTTTTTTGATGGAACACTGAAGCTGAAAGACTCCTTAAAATGATGAAATTGGATTTCAATTTAACTTTGCTTAATTCAACCAATGCGAAACGAGCCCAATTTAGTTCTATTCAAATGGTTGAGTGAGTCTTGGAAACTTTAATAAGCCAATTTGGAGATCGATTCAACTTGAATTGGCCTTACCAGGGTTAGATTAGCCTAGCCTAAATTGGATCGAATTTGCTCGATCCAAGTGTTCTATTAACTCCCTATGTGCTAGCTGCCTAGGACATGTAGGCTGCTTCCTTCGTGTTGACATGCCCTTATTTGGCTGCAATAATTTTTGACAGTTTAAACATTCTCCAAGTCACTAGAAACTTCTCTCTACCATTTTATGAGTAATGCATCAAGTAAAAATGCTTATCAGGGAGAGGTACAATTCCACAACAAACTTTGTATACATTATTGCTTGTTTCCATTTTAGTAAAAACATAACTGAAGGACCTTCTTAGATAATTTTTTCCCATCAATATGTTTCATGGACCTTCGCTTGGTCACATCATTGCAATCGTACAACATGGTGTTTTTTCGTTGAAAGAGATGGTGCTGATCATAATAGCCATTGGTTGCTTGGGATTGCTTGATTGAACTACCTTCCCTTGGGGCGGGATCTGTCTAATTTAAATTTGTATTATTTTTTATGATGCGATGGTTATAATATCTTTCATCTATTCTGGATAAATTTGAAAGCTGAACCATAAGAAACCAACCATATCCAAGTATATGAATGTACTCCAATTTCAATTCATTTAATGTTCTTTGTGACTTCCAAGGTTTGGTGAAACTTCTAAACTTCTATTGATGAAACCTTATGTATTGCTTATTATTGACATTCACGGCTCTTTGATGATGCCTAAAGATACTCGTTGATGAAGCTTGGAGGCACTGCTCATTGCTCACGTCTAGAGGTTTTGGTCACCAGTGCACTCATTCACCATTGTTGGCATGTCTGCTGTTCATTGACTCGCGTGCTTCTCACGATGTGTAGCCACTAATTGATGGTGCATGGAAGTGTTTCTTGTTGAAGATTTTATGGGGGAATGCTACTCATTGTTGATATGTTATGGACTGCAGGAGGTTGCACTCATTTATGATGTGCTATTATTAATGCCAAATGATATCTCATATTTATAATGAAATGTGTTGCTTGTTACTGAAAACTCCCATTTTGGATATGTTGCTCTACTCTTTTACCATACGAGGACTTAATGCATATGGCCATAATCAAATGATTCCATCTGACGCCACAAGCATCCCTATTGGAAACCTATTTTTATTTTTTTTACTTAGACTTGTTTTTGGCTTTAACACTTGCCAAATAGGCTAAAAAATCATGTATGGTGTGCATATTTTTCAAATTAGAGATGGATATGACCGTGACAGGCACTCATAAGTTAACTTTGGTTCAATAACTTTTAGTTACGGTTAAACCTTATATATTAGGTTTGCTTCTTCTTTTAGTGTATGTGTTTTGGTAGTAGAATGTTGATATTGATAAAATCTTTGATAATGTTTAATCCTAATGCAGTTTCGTTATTGATAATTAAGCACACTTAATTAAATATTAAAATATAATTTAAATTAAAAAAATGCTCGTTTTTCTTGATGTTGATCCTTCAATTATTTTGTGAAGTATATGATTGCAAAACTTATTGTGCGATATCTTCTTATAGCAAAATATTAATATTGTATTTTTTATTTACACATTTATTGTTAATAATGTATAAAATGGAAGATCATTCTTCATAAGATATGTTTAGCTGCTTGGGCGCTGCTAAGTTCTCTCCCCAACTCTTTTAATTTATGAGAATTTTCTTAGGATGCAACATTTGGGAATGTTTGATGGAAACCTTACCACATTCATTGACTAGAAACCATGATAGTTGGCAATCATTCATTTTGTAAGGGCTTTTACTTTTGATGTTTGAATGCGTCTGGTCAAGCAGCATACTCTTCATCAAGTGATCTCTTTTTTCGGTTTTTTTTTTTACAACAGTGAATAAGTACAATACTATAATTTTTCTATTAGATACTAAAACCTTGCTCAACCTCTCTCTCTGGGCTACCGTTGAGAAGCAAATCTAATTTTGAGGAGAAATATCCTTTTTTTTTCTCTAAAAGATTCATGCCACCATTTTTGGGCGTGGTTGCATTGAGTGAAAACCATTTCACCATATTTAGTAGTTCCATTGAAATACATGCTATCCACTAACACATATCCACACGCAAGCGTTGACTTTCTCTTATCTGGATTTTTGCAATAATTGGCTACATTCAATAATGTTGTTGTCGACCACTTTCTTACTTATTAAAAAAGATTATGCTAGTTGTGCCATGCTCCACATAGGAGGCCAATTGACCTACTTTCTCATCATTGGCTAGCCTTTTAGGCTGAGCATCTATAATACTAAATGCGCGCATGGCTGTTAGAAAATAATTGTATGTGGACCTAGTGATTTATTTTCATCTCTCAAATGAATTGTACTACGCAAAAGAAGAAAAGTCAATCAAAGCACTTGTAAAATTACTTTTTGAACATCTTAATGGCATAATGGAAATTTAAATTGTTACTTTTGTCCAAGGAGCCATTGAGGCTCAAGGAATAAAGTTTGGAAAACTTGTAAACAGGATTTGGATTCAAGTTTATCAGGCCTTCTTTTCAATAGCGTGAAGAACTCCTAAATTTTCAATGGGAAGGCCTCCAACTAAAGTAACCTTCAGAGCCAAAAATGTTGGTTGCACTGCCTAATGAAGCAAATCTATATCTTACATTTCATTCCATTTGATTTTTTGCAAACATTTTTGAAAGAAAATTATATGAAGAGCAGAGATCCGTTATTTAAAGTTTGCTTATGAATTTTAAATGAACAAGCAACCTTCTAAAAAATCATTATGGTTGGAAGAAACAATAAGAAGATGCATGTGCATTGAATTCTCCCATCTAAAGCAAATGCAGAATCTAAACAACATAGTTTTATCAAAATCATTAATGAAATTTAAGCTTTTTTTCAATGAGGAGAATGTGATTAGTGAAAATTTTTTTCTTCATAACATCAATCGCACACCATTAATCATTACAAACAATGATGTGTCTCTTGCCAACACCATCATTACCGCACAATAATTGGCGATAGTATGGTTTTAGATTACCCCGCCCCATAATCCAATTTCAACGATCACAACATGTGCTCCAACCTATTGTTAGTCTTTAGAGGCTATTGACGATGTGATTTTCTTTCGCTCACAACACTCACAACACTACTTATTGCTCTTCGAAAAGGTATCAATGCACCTATTCTATTTTCTCTCGTGTTAACTATAAACAACTATCTTCTACTTCTTGCTCGTTTAGTATTTCACTTGACTCTGTTAAAATTCCAAACTCTGTTCATCAAGCTCTATCCCATTCTGGGTGGCGAGCAACAATGTTTGATGAAATGAATACCTTAATTGAAAATGGAACTTATGAACTGGTTGAATTACTTGCTCGTAAGAAGGTTGTTGGTTGTAAATGGGCCTTTGTAGTTTAGTTTCATTTTGAGTTCGGTTGGTTGCCAAGGACATATGCTCAAATTTATGAGATCGACTACTTGGACAGTTACTTCTGTTAGCCAAGTTGACTTTGGTTTGCCTATTTCTATTCTTGGCCGCAATGAATAATTGACCTCAGCACCACTTTGATGTGAAGAATGTGTTTCTGCATGGTGATCTTTTAGAGGATGTATACAATGAGCACATCCTGAGTTTGTTGCTTAGGGGGAGCCTGAGTGTTGTTGCGAGATCTATAAATATATCAGTGGATGTGGTATATATATAAATCAAATAGAAGAATGATCGACGAAGCGAAAAATAGAACGAGAAAAATCACATTAAAAAAACACACAAATTTACGTGGTTCGGCAAATTGCCTACGTACACGGAGTTGCAGAGGATTTTACTACTTGAGGAATTTACACCAGTCGATCACCTCGACTTACAAGAAGAATCTCTCACTTCGTTGCTCTCTGTTCTTCTCTCTCTACTCCGAGATACACCGAAAAAACTCTACACCGAGATACACCGAAGAATATAAACTTACAAGAGAAATAAACTTAATTTCTCTTTAGCCACAAGCCACCAAGAAGAAGCCAAGGGAGAACAATGTTCTTCTTTCTTCTTCCTTCACCGCAAGGAACTACTCCTTGCACTTCTCTTTCCTTTTATCCCGAAGAAACCTTCCTCTATCCCGAGGAAACCGAAGAAGAACACCAACCGTGACTTGTCCTAAAATCGAAGGAGAGCAGCTGCGATGCCTTTTATCGCGAAAAGGAAGGGAGGTTGGTGACGTTTCGCGAATATCGCGACCTCTCGCGACAGTGGAGCGGGAACAGGTGAGCGGGACGAAGCGACGCTTCGCTTCGCGGCGGAGGTTGGCGCCGATTCGCGAAACGGGAGGAGCGGGAGCGGGAATTCGAACCGGTCTCCA